AAGGGCCTTGTGCGTAACCATGGGCTGCTCGATTGAGTTGAACCGTGTCCAGAGAGGCGTGGCATAGCACCTGCTACTTCAGGTTTCTAGGTGGGATCCTGCACTTCCATTAGAGGACATGTGTTTCTCGTTGATATTTTCCCCTGCTGTTGGTTTTACAGAACATACAACATTGTCATCCGGATTTGCTAGTATTCTTTCCAGGCGCCTGAAGCAAATGGAGGAATAGCCGTCAAACTGTCAAACATGTGCCTAGGGTTTTGTCGGGGTGGGGGGAACAAGGACTGCTTTCGCATTGACGGCTTTCTGCTTTGCCCTCAGCCTGTCGTCGCACGCCCTTTGCCCCGCGAGAGGTTCCTGGAATTCTTGCAGCGCACGGATGACAAAGCGCAGGCGGAGCGACAAGCGTCGCCGTCGGCAAATTTCGTTTTTTCGACGGGCTTGCCCCCCAGAAGACAAGAGACCCATTGAACACGGCTCGCTTGTCAGCGAATCGATCATGACCTTTGGGTTTCCTAATTTGGTCCATTTTTCGCCAGGGTCTCAAAAGGACCACCTTTCTTTCCGGGTCCCTTGAGCAACTGAGACAGGTTCCAATTGCTGAAGAGCTATGATGTGCATCCGAGTTCGGTGCAGAAAACCAGGAGTTTGCCCACTAGCCACAAGCCAAGAATGCGAGAATGCGAGGTGGCTTGTTGGATACAGCGTGATTTCTTAAACAGGTGCCTTTGTCAACTGCCTGCATCTCTTGAAAGTTAATAATTCCCACTCCAAAAAGAAAAAAGTACTTTCTTCCATGCTGGAGTGGTAATTTTCACTCCGTGTTAAAATGCCCGTTCGGGTAGTTCCGACTGCTCAGGCATCCGTTCGGACCCGTTCGGAACCCGTTCGAAACCCGTTCGAAACCCGTTCGAACCCGTTCGAACCCGTTCGTACCCGTTCGGACCCATTCGGACACGTTCGGAGGTACGTAAAAAATACGCCAACATTACGCAATAAGCCTTTGATAATTTATGTGCAGTGCTGATTTATGAACACTTCGATGGTAGTGAAAATATCCGTTCAAGAGTAGAAATACCCGTTCGAAAGTGTCCTCAGGCCAAAAGGTACTTTGTCAATTTTGGAGTAGGAATTCTTAACTTCCAGGAGATCCAGGTGGTTTTGGGTTGGGAGCCAAAGGCAAACCTCCTGTTTCCTTGGGGCTCTCCGTTCGGAGGAATCATTCCGAATCCGGGTGTGATAACACATCGGCAGTTCGATCTTGGTAAAACATCGGGACCTCACAACCGAGGTTTCTCCATAGCTGGGTTCTGCATATTTGGTCGAGCTGTGTCACTCCCAAAAGAAATGAATCAACGTATCTTTGCCCTTCCAGGCATCCCCGGGTTTGAGTCATTGACAAGCACTGGAACCATTTGCCCATATTTCCTTGTGCGTCTCCGTTTTATTTCTGTCGTCCAAAGCACATCAACCTTTCGACTCCTGGATCTTAGTATGTGGCAAAGCAGGGGGCACCCCCCAAAACTGCCTTTACTTTTCATTTCCTGCTTAAAAAGGTACCCCCAAAAAACATGCCCTCACATGTTGTCTCACGTTTGGAATGGCTGAAATCCACGAGTCCCCCAAAACGGGTTCAACTCTGCCGGACAGTTTGCAGCGAAAACAGGGGGCCGGGCGATGACAACAACACCTTGAAATCGGAGAACTGAAAGGTACTGCAAGGGCTGAACTATGAACACTATTCCCCCATTCATGACTTAATCTGTTCTAAAAGTACCCTACAAGCCCGTTCTATTTGTTTCAGCGCCTTATATTAATCTCTTTTTTTATCAGGCCTGTGGGGAGGCATCACACTCATTTCCACCGAGATATATTGCTCAGGGCAAAGTATTGCACCGCGGATTTAATCGTACGGGGCGGAGAACTCCTCTCAAAAGAACAACAAACAAAAGGCCAAAGCCAAAGCCAAGTAATGGTTGATAAACCACCAATCGCAACGGCGAAAGGAATTTTGTAACCGTCCGCAGTACCCCCACCACTCAAAAATGAAAAGCCAAAGGTAGAAGCCTGTTTCCAAATTGGGAAATGGCTCAGAACGCCTCCCCCCCCCTGAATCCCCTTCAAAAGTTCACTAAAAAAGCCGCATTCGGAGGTTCCAAAAAGGCTGTTTTACTCTGGGGGGTAAGAAGTAATGACTTGGTGCACCGGAAAACCAGCCCCCAAAAACAGCACGCCGAAGCCGCGGGAGCCGCCAAAACGCCATCGCGTGAGGTGCTCGAGGAGTTTTTGCGGAGCTTCCCACTGAAGGGTGCGGCGCCCCCGGGCTCCAGGCGGGCGATGTCCGTTCGCGCGAGTTCGGGGTGTTGCGAAAGAAGTGGGTGGTGTGCTCAAGGGTGGGAAGGTTCCAAAAACCAACGGGAAACCACCGGTTTTAGGGGGTTCCCACCGGTTTTAGGGGGTTCCCACCAGTTTCAGGGGGTTCTCACCAGTTTTGGGGGGTTCCCCGATGTAGCGACAAGCCCGGAGTGGGTGGTGGGGGGGGGAAGGGGGTGGGTGGGCTCGGGTTGGGTTTGCGCACCAAATATGAAAGTGCACGCTTGCATGTCCTGAGCACCAAGCCATGTTTGTTGGCAGGGCGATGACTTCCCCAGATGAACTTGGAACCCCCCAAAAAACACCAGCATAGAGCAGGGTTTCCGCGCCATTGGCCTTTTTTTTTGTGGAAATCACCCGTAAACTTTAGCCACCTTTTTGGGTTTAACTTCGGTGAGTTTGGGGAGCAAACCAGCCCAAGGAAGGCCTTGTGGAGGGAAATGATTGAATACGTACCCTCCGACGAACATGGCACCTGGGAGGTACCTGGAAGATCAATTTCAGTTTCAAGGGACCTGTCAGATGCCATGTTTGTGGGAGGGAGGGTAACACAACAGTGTTTGAGGGGTTGGACTCTGGTAACCACCAAGCACTTTTGGATGGTTCCCACTCTTAAACTTCAGCTCGCGGGTCGACCTCAGAGCCTCAAGCCTGGCGTTTTCGGGTAGACTCCAAGTTGAGAGAGCAAGCTTTGAAAGGGGTGGCTCATCCTGTTTGGAGACTCCCCGAGTGGTTTCCTTTTGGTTTCGCTCTCAAGGCCACCAATAAAGGGTACCCTCAAAAAAAGACACTCATATTGACCCTTCATCCTAGAAGTGCCGGACACCAAAATTTCAACAGCACATCATGGTCCTTTGGCGCCGGCGATCGGAACCCCTTGCCCAGAATCCGTTTGTTGGGTCCCCTGAGTCAAGCCCATTTTTTTTGACAGATGGCGAAATGACAACCATTTCTGCTCATCTTCTTTCGCTTTTGGAGTGACCTTAGACCCCTAGACCACGTTGCAGTGGCCATAGGTGGAATCCACATGTGGCAGTGTGTACAGACGCTCTGAGAGGCTTCTACATCCAGCCGTGGAAACAAGTGGCTTTTCCATCTTGCTGGTTCTCAGCAGGGAATGAGAAATGGACTGACTTTTTACCATCCAACTTGTGGTTTCCTTTAAAACCAAAGCCTGGGTTCATTCAACCATCCCTATCGCACCAGGGAATCCCCAAAGGGTTCCCTGAGCCCAACCAGGTCAGTCCCTGAGCCTGAGCCATTGACTCTGACAGTGGTTGCCCGAAAAGAGGTCAACCACTCGATCGATCCCTGAGTTCTATAGTTGATAGACTCTTTTTGGGAGTGAAGTGGTAGACATGGCCAGACTTGTTGGAGCCAATCCCGGGAAGTGCGGCGAAACCTTGAACTGAAGAGAACGATCCCCCTTGCCTCCGATGAGGATCTCCTCCAAAGCCATTTCATATATGTGGGGTCAGACTGAATGTGGAGCCGAAAATCTGCCAAACATATTTTCCGTGCCCCAGATCTGAGCCAAGACTTGCTGGTGCTCAGGGCAAAGTTGGGAATGAACCATTCGGGGATCCCCGAAAGGAAAGAACCAGCCAGTTGGATGGCTCAAATCGCGGGGTCAGACTCCACTCTCTCTCTCTCTGTCTCTTTCTGTCTCTCTCTCTCTCTCTGTCGTTCTCCCAACAGCCAAGTACCCAACAGCCAAGCCCAACAGTCCAACACAACAACCCAGCAGCCGACCATTCACAGGCAGGCGGACGAGCTGAACGAGCAGCTGCAGGACGCGAGACGCGAGTGTCGTGTGGCGGTCTGGTTGGGGTCTAAGTCTCTGAGTCACAGTCATAAGCGTTCATTTTACATAAGTCAGTGTGAGCAATGGGTCCCTCAAAGTGGAAGTTTCCTTATAAAGATAAATGGATTGTTTGAGTTCATGTAAATCCACAGGTCAGTATTCTTAGACATACTAGCATGGATGTGCGTGAGTGAGTGAGTGAGTGAGTGAGTGAGTGAGTGAGTGAGTGAGTGAGTGAGTGAGTGAGTGAGTGAGTGAGTGAGTGAGTGAGTGAGTGTGTGTGTGTGTGTGTGTGTGTGTGTTTTTGTGTTTGTGTTTTTGTGTTTGTGTTTGTTTTTGTGTTTGTGTTTGTTTTTGTGTTTGTGTTTGTTTTTGTGTTTGTGTGCTTGTGTGTGTGTTTGGGTTTGTGTGTGGGTGTGTGTTTGTGTTTGTGTTTGTGTTTTTTGTTTGTGTTTGTGTGCTTGCGTGGTTGTGTTTTTGTGTTTGTGTTTGTGTTGGTGTTGGTGTTGGTGTTTGTGTTTGTGCTTGTGTGTGTGTGTTTTTTGTTGGCGTTTGTGTTTGTGTTTCTGCTTGCGTGGTTGTGTTTTTGTGTTTGTGTTTGTGTTTGTGTTTGTGCTCGCGTGGTGTTTGTGTTTGTGTTTCTGCTTGCGTGGTTGTGTTTTTGTGTTTGTGTTTGTGTTTGTGTTTGTGCTTGCGTGGTGTTTGTGTTTGTGTTTGTGCTTGCGTGGTTGTGTTTTTGTGTTTGTGTGCTTGTGTGTGTGTGGGTTTGTGTGTGGGTTTGTGTTTGTGTTTGTGTTTGCGTTTTTTGTTTGTGTTTGTGTGCTTGCGTGGTTGTGTTTTTGTGTTTATGTGCTTGTGTGTGTGGGCTTGTGCCTGTGCTTGTGTTTGTGTGTTTGAGGGCGCCCCTTTCCGCTTGGTCTAAAGGAAACCACAGGACAGCTGCCATTTTGGGTGCAAGACACATACCCATTCGGTCAACATTACGAGTAGCCTATGGGAGGGACATGATGGACTCACTAAATTCCACAGCAATCGAGGGGCTCAAATCTTCCAGGCCCTGTTAGGGCAACAAGTAGTTTTGACCATGGCTTGTATGTTTATAGACATTGTCACTATTTAGCGTGACAATTTGTAGTCCGTAGTCGCAGAGGGGCATCAGTACCATTTACTAGTGGGTTTTGCAGTGGCTGCGCATCTCCCGTGAAACTTCTGCGATTTGTGCCGCTTCCATCCCTCGGCGCCTTTTTGTCGAATTTTGGGCTCGAGGACTTGGCGGACAAGCTGTGGATCCACGCGAACCACCGGAAGTTTGAGTCCGTAGAGGTCCGGGCTCGATCCGCTCGATGCGTGTGACACCTGGCGCGATAGGCAAGGGGCATTGTGCTTAGTAAGTGGATAGTAAGCCTGGTTCAAGTTGACCCCATATCAACCCCTGGTGATTGATAGGGGGGTTGGGGGCCCTTCCGGAATCCCCACCAAACCTAGGGACACTCCCCCTGTTAACAAAATGGGGTTGGTGAATATGGGGTCAACATCATGACTGACTGAGGAGGCTTACAACCATGGTAAGTGGGCTATAACCAAACTTACTAACCACTTACTAGTAGTATAATGCCCCTTTAAGCAGGGAATGAGAAATGGAACGACCCCGATAAACAATCCAACTTGTGGCTTGATTTCAAGGGAAACCCCAAACGGTTCATTCCCAACCCCCAGACAAGGTCATCCCTGCCTATCGCACCAGCAAGCTGGAACATCACCTCCAGACCAGAAAGGAAAAAGCATGGGGTGGGTGGATTGTTCAGCTGGGTGATGCACTTTGAAACCATGGTTGAAACCATTGTTGGTTGGTGTTTACAGGAGAATGATCGTTCCAGGGGTGCTTAGGTGGTGCAGGATTTTGTCCATCCACAGTATGGAGGTTCAATCCAGACCAGTTAAAACATGGGAGTGTTGTTTTTTCTCGTTTTTTTTTCTTTCGCGGTACCCATTTTGGGTTGCCTAAGAAAGAAACCAACGGGAACACCACCATTTTTGGGGGTCTCCTATTTAAAGACACTTCTCACATGACCGCTTAATTAGGAAAGACAAGACAACCATCATTTTGTGGGGTGCACAACGTGGATGTTCAATCCACTTGCTTACTTAGCCATGTTGTTTTTTCTGGGATAGCCACAGTTCTTGGATCACACCACTGAGTAAGTAGGGTACGTACAATCATGGCTACAGAACTGGGGGGGCCAGCGCCCTTGTGGCCGGTTGCAACCTTATAGGGCATACCCTCCCTCCAACAATCATGGAAGTGGACATGGGGCTTTGCCAGAAGGCAGGTCATCGTCCAAACGCCTCCTCTCAGTTTCCGTGATTGTTGGAGGGAGTGTAAGGAACAGGGATATCCCGGGTTAGCACGCTGAGAACGATTACCCGCCGGGTTGAACATCCAAGTTGCGGTTGTTGTTGATTGCCAGACCTCCAGTAGAGCTTCCCCTTTTCCTTTTGAGAGGGGACAGTCCTTTTGAAGTTCTCTCTTGCCCAAAGCCGACCTTGTCACCTTTTAGTTTCCCTTTTTTAGTCCATGTTTAGCCATGGCCTTCCAGGGTGATCGCTTTTTATGTCCAGATCGACACGTCAGAATATCGTTCAGGATTTCATTGCAAAGCTCGAACTGACGACTTGGCAACCATTAGGAGTTTGCAGATACTTTTGTCGCAGTGCTTTGTGATTGACGACAGTTCTGAAGTCGAGTGTTCCTTGCGCGGGATTGCCGGGGTCATCCCATTGTTGACCGCTGAGTCAAGAGATGTTGGCCATCTTTTCGATGCCCGAAGCCAGTCTTGAGATGATCCATCCGACCAAACCCTGAAATGCGGACACTGTGAGAGCCTCTCAAGCAGTTGTGGCAACCAATGCAACTTCTGATGCATTTTTTGTTCCTTCCACATCAAGCAGCGATGGCTTGCAGAGCTTCAGGAAAACAGGATGCGCTTGCATCTGTCCAGCCTCTTACCTGAAGGTGCAGAACATGCGTGCAGGCAAGCAGTTCCTGGACCATGGGCCCGGTTCTATGAGCACTCTAGCACATTGCTGAGCAGGGCGTGAGGTTCAGGTTTGTTTTTTTCTTCCTCGGAGGCCAGGAACTGCTTAGTTCAGCTCGGTGGATTGGCCGCTGTTTGGTGCTGGATTGGCCGGTAGAGGCCACGGAAACGAAGGTGCACCTCTGGTCTTAGACACCTTTTGTGTTGCACCTCGGCACCTTGAGTGTTATGTTTTTTTTTAAATGGCAGCGTGGCATTTCTTTGGCGCGGGCGTGGCAAAAGGAGGCCAAGCAGGGACCCCAGCTTCGTTTTGGCCCATTCCAAAAGGCGATGTTTGAACCACGTAAAAGGGAATATATACAAATATATACATTTATAGAATAATAGGTCGGTTTTTGGAGGATATCTTGTTTTTGTGGTTTTGCAGGGAGACCAAAAGGAAAACTACCATCTCGCGGGTCCCCTGAAACCCTAAAAGAAGGCACACCCGCGCCGTATAGTGCAGGGAGACCACCTGAGTTTTCTCAACACCACATCCCCACCCGCAATAGGAGCGGCACCGCCTGATGACGCCCGGGCCTTGCTCTCTGAAAAGTTCGGCTACGTCAGGGGCCCGGCATTCCACTTTAACAACTTTCTTGTTGGCGAGTTTGGCTTGGTAGGTGTTCAGATGGGACACATTGGGGGATTTTGCTGCGAGGTCACCCGAGAATCCACTAAGAAGATTCACCAAATCTTCGAGCCAGGCAGTTGGTAGGCCTCCAGTAATTCCACTGGGTTTCGTCCATGGATTTGGTTCAGTACATATTTTTCCTTGGATGTTCGATTCGCCAAGTCAGTACAGGAGTCACTGGTTTTCCCTTCACAAGTTGAAATTTGCTGGTGGTTTGCCGTGAAACTGCAAGTTTTGGAGGTTCCAAGAAGGGAAATGGAGGAAATCCTGTAGAAAGTTCTTGGTAACCTAGCTTACAACCAGCTTACAAGCCCCTCTAAGTCGCTCAGTGCTATCCCAAGCAGTGGCCATTGTCTCGGTCCCGCCTAAAAATCCCCATTTCTTGTTCGGCCTGGACAAAGCACCGCAGGCCTCCTTCTCATTCTGTCATATTGTGGATGGGCAAATTCCTGACGACGAATGCGCCGGTTGATGTGAAGAAAGCGTTCTTCAACTCGCCATCCAGGCAGGAAAGCAGACGAACCCACTGTCGAAGACCAAGCACGCGCGGCCATTTTTGCAGCTTGGGAGGGCTTCCACTTCGTGGGCAAAGGACAGCAAGGCGGAGCGCAAGTGCGGGCCCAAGGCCCTGATCCGCGCTGGGACTTCTGGAGCAGGCACACGAAGTTGTGTATGCCTTCCTTTTTTCGCCGAGGCGGACTTCGATGCTTGCTCTTCTTGTGACCGTGGGGAGGCGTCCGATAGGTTGCCTCAACACCCAAGAATGCGCGCGTGTCACATTTAGGGCATCGCTCAAAGCGGGTTTGAGCGTTGGTGGGCTCCTTAAACTGGCGTCGGCCTCGGCTGCTAACGTCGCGATGACTAGAGCGAGTTTAGCTTGATATCGAGGCTGCTATGTACCATAGTAAATCTGTCACACATTCGTATGCAGTTTTTTTTTCCTTTTTTTTGTTTTTCGTGTGTTTCTTTGGAGTGGACAAATACGTAAGTAGGTTTAAGCTTCGCGTATTCGTCAAGCAAGTTGTGGCAGCAAACATGGAGGAATGGATCAGACGCAGGTGGCTATGTCCACTCCGAACTTTTTTGGGATTTCCCCATGTCTCCTTGTGAACAAGCAGGTGGCATTGAAAGGGGTTCGAATCTATCAACCAAACTGAAACCATGCGGATGTATGTTCCACCAGCTGAACCACAAAGAAGGCCCGACCACTTATGCCCGGATGTTTAGTGACTTCCCACTCTCCTGGTTCCCACGTATCTGCCAAAGCAGAGCAGGGGCCACCCCAAATGGAAATCCCACCGGAAGTTCCACAGGAAGTACCCGAGTTGCGCTCTTCACTTGGAAATACCGAGTGTCCCAACGTAAGTCAGGGGGATCTTGCTTGTCTTATCTCCAAGCCCATAAATCACAAGGCAGAACACGGAGATCAATAAGCAGGTTGAAACCGCTGTCCTGATTCTGAGGTTGAAAAGGAGGATGTTCTATTTCACCCCAAGTTGTGTGAACATCGTGCTGAATCGCCGTGTTTTTCCACATGGACCCGGCCCAACGCTGGAAACTCCATATGGAAAAAAACGTGGATTCCATCTTCTGGCGATCAAGAGAACTAGTGTCTTTCATTGAAACCAAAAGGAACATCCCATTTTGGCGTCCCGAACCCGTTGGGTTCCGTGTTGTGTTAGGGAGTATTGTGAAGCAACACCGGCAGCTTACTGAGTGATCCACGTGGCTGTGGGTCAAAAATGCGGTAACCCCAAAATGGCTTGCCCTGGTAAATGGAAACGTGGACGACTAAATCCTGCGGTCCGATTCCTGGGGGTTTAAGCTTGCCCCATACGTCAGGAACGGCTTCTGGGAGGAGAAGGCGGCAGCACATTTGCGCCTCGCCAACAAGCTGCAGGCCATCAAGTCCTGGCGAACTTGGCTTAGGTTATATGGCTGTGGGTCAACACCAATGGGATCCGATTTTGGTTGGTGGGTGACTTCACCACCCATTTTAGGCATTATTTTAGGGGTTGGATTGGGATGTTCACTGGGGGTACGTGGTTTTGACCCATGGCCATATGGGTTGCCAGAATCCCCCCCCCCGGAAACAGGGAGGGTTCCTTTTGGTTTCCCTTTGGCCTCAACAGCACGCCCATATATGTATATGGGTGTGTCCATTTTGCAGGACGCCCCCAAAAAAATTGTCTTCCTCTTGGTTCCTTGTTGAAACCACCAAACAAGGGGGACCCACCATGTAGTTGGTTGAACAATATGATTATGGTTGCCCGAAGCAATATGAATGTAAACACAGAGTTGGGGTCCTTGTACTTCCTTTGTTGTGTCGCTTAGATACGGGTTTGTTTGGCAAGTTATGATTGAGCTTCCCGTAGGGGGTGATGACATGCCAAGAAGCCTGTTCGCACAATCAGCTGCCACGGAGTGCTGTAAGGGAAGCTAGAATTAGTCGATGCTGAACATCAGACGTGGCTGCACCATGTTTGAATGGCAAAGACGAAAGGTAGCTTTGGTGGCGGGTACGATTTGGCTTAGAGCACTGCAGATGTTACGCTACGTTCTCCCAGTTGTCCATTAAGCCTTTTTTCCAACCAAGGCGCTGGAATTTTGGGTCAGCTCCTTTTTCGAGTCCACCAACCAGAAAACCCGCTTTCCCATGGCCGTGTTTTGGATGCATGATTTGTGTGGCTGGCCAGTGACCCGTTGCGAGCCGGAGCTGATCTTATGGCCACTGCTCGTAAACTCGCTTTTGACTGTTCCTGCTGGCATTGGTTTCTATTTGATCCAGTGGCTATTGGATCACTGGAGAGGTCGAGTTATGGCCCCCAGAAGGATAGTTAGGTGAGTTTTGGTGGTTTTCCTCCAAAAGGACAACCCTGTAAGAGTGGTCTTTGTGATCTGCATGTGCACACGACCCTCGTTTTTTCGGGAGCATGGATGCCATTTGCTCCTGGGGAATTCCAGCCATTTGCCCCGATACATGTCTGCTGGCATGGACGGACGCACGGATGGACCTGACGCATGGGACTGGCGCCATGGGAGGGACGGAACGATTGGAGCAATTTTTCAGAATATGAGGATAGCTTTTGCTGTAGATTGGATTGTATGGATTGGACGGATTGGATTGGATTGGATTGGATTGGATTGGATTGGATTGGATTGGATTGGATTGGATTGGATTGGATGGATTGGATGGATTGGATGAGCCCTTGCTGCAGAACATCAGGATTACGAAAGAAGTGTCAGGCTACAGATGTCGTCAGATCATGAATCCAGTTCATTCACCCGGGCAGCATGCGGTAAACGCGGTGAAGCTGCCCCAGCCAACGAGTCAAGTTTCAAGTCGAATCGAGCGAAGCCAACTGCACGGTCCTTTGGAACCCATCCCTTCCCCCCTGCCAGCTGATCCCACGGTCAAAGTTGTCAGTCTATTGGTCGATTCGGGAAAAACATGCGGGCAACTCACGAAAATGTCCTGTTGGCTCACGTAGCAAACAGATGTCGCCGCGCCGCGCGGAACAGGTACTGCAGGTAGTGTCAAGCGCTGCGGAGAATGCGGCTCGTGCTTCGCCCCTTAGTTTTATGGCAACATGATACCCTACCCAAGGAAACCAAGAAGGTTGCTTGAGGAAAAATGCCTTGGGAACTTCAATCTGGTGTTGGTTTGATACCTTATGTAGCCCCAAGCTCAGTTTAACAGCTTGACTTCTTTTTCAATGGCATGCCCAAGGCTTCCAGGGTGTACTGCCAAAACCCTTGCACACCACAGAGATGCGTTCTTGAGACGCCAATGACGCCAAACAAGCAGCACTAGTTCGGGACCTGAAAGATCCGGATCGAACACGTGGCAGGCAACGTCTCAAAACGAGGTTGAACTCACACCCTGAGCCACTAGGTTCCAATCCACACTTTCCAAACCCAAGAAGCTCCCGCTTGGCCCACATTTCGGTACACAGAAATAACGAAAATATTTTCTGCTCCCAAGCTCTTAGGTATTTTGGGTGTGTCCCAAGATCAAGTGGTTCTGCTTGGGGTCGTTCCCTGCCTGATCCCAACCGCCAGCGACGAAACCGGGCGACCGGCTGACCATGGCCACGAAGCCGCTGCGGGGCCGGGCCGCGGCGGAGGCCGCGGCCGCTGAGGCCAGGGAATTGGTTCCCTGCCGTGAACCCTTACTGTAGCTTTCTTCTTCTTCTTCTGGTTTTAGTGTCTCAGTTTTAGGTTTTTAGTTGGTTTTTAGTTGTTTTTTGGTTTTAGCTTCTCAGTTTGTAGTTGGTTTTTAGCTTATTAGTTAGTGAAAAGATTTTAGTCTCTCAGTTGTTAGTTGGTTGTTAGTTTATCTGTTGCTTGTTAGGTTTTAGTGTCTCAGTTTTTAGTTTTTTCTTCTTTTTTTTTCTGTTTTTGCTTTTAGGAGTTTGGTCTCGATCAGTTTTTAGTTGGTTTTGAGTTTATTAGTTGGTTTTTAGGTTTTAGTTTCTTAGTTGTTTTTACTTTCTTTCTTTTTTTGCTTTTTGGGTTTTAGTCTCGATCAGTTTTTAGTTGGTTTTGAGTTTATTAGTTGGTTTTTAGGTTTGAGTTGGTTTAGTGGTTGGGTTTCCATTTAAGCCACTGAAGGTTAAACTTTTAGCAGGGGATCTGAGGACAGCCCAGTCAAGATGGGTGTGTCGTTCTGGGGGATCATCCAACCTTTCGGTCCAGACATCCGAATCTTTTCAGGAAACCATCCACGAACCCAGCAGAAACAGCTGGTTATTGAAAAGAACGCTGGTTGAACAGAATGGAGAATCAACTTCTAGAGTCTTTTGTTAGGGTAGCCACCCAACATGTGTGTCCCTTTTGTTTTCCTTTGAAACCAATCAAAAAACGGCCGCCTCAACAAAAATACACAGATAGAGGTTCGACCCCCAGTTTGTGGTTGTTTCCTTTCGGTTTCCCTACATAGGGTCTCCTTGCCGATCTGATGGGTGATATTTCAGTAACCTGTGTAAGGATGATATAGGGAAAGCCACTATCTGCTTAACATAGGGAAACCATACTGTGGATGGTTGCAACATCCACAAAACACAAAACACACCAGTTGGTGGGGGCCGTATCCCATTCTTTAGAGGGTCTATCAGGATGCAGGAGTTTGTTTATCCCTCCGGCCCAAAAGCCAAAAGCCTGATTACGGCGAAGGGGTGGGTTCTTGGATCCACCGGGTAGCATCGCTACATGTATACAATTCGGGTAACATACCCAGAAGCATCTTCAAATCAACCAACAGGTCCCCCCCCAAAAAAAACACACACACACACACACACACACCGTTTTGGGGGGTCCCCTTCTAAAACCCCCCCCAACCCAAAACACCCGTTTTGGGGGGGGTCCCCTTCCAAAAAAAGGGGAAAGCGCCCGTTTTGTTGGCGCGGGCGCACTTGGCAAGGGCCCCTCAGGCCCGTGACCTCGCAGAAGCGGCGCTCGCGCAGCGGGACCTCCGAGAGGCGACCCGCCGGAGCGCTGGGAACGGCGCGGAACGCGGAGGACGGCGCTGGAGCGCGGGGCAAGGAGGTGGACGTGGGGCTTTGGGTGTGGGAACGTGGGTTTCCCTTAAACCAGACGGGGGGAGGGGTATTTGCTTTAGGAAGGTTTTTCGTTTTTGGCTTCAAAAGTAACACGAAAACAATGCAAACATAAATTCCGCACTGTGGTGGGGCCGAGGAACACTTGTGGTATGATGCGTTCCGGGCATGTTGGCAGTTGCGGACCCTGCAGCAGAGACCACATTCAACCAAGATGTAAGCTCATGAGGCCCAATGATGAGGTTGTCTCAGAGCTTGGCCTTACGGGCAAAAGGTACACCGAGTTCCGGGGTTGCACCCCGGAAGGGGATGCCGGAGAGATGTGGGATGATGTTACTTGTCCCAAAACGTCACTACCACAAATAAGCAGATTAAGAACTAGAACTACCTGGAAACATTTCGTGAATTTAGGCATTGGGTTTCATTAACACGTAGCCACGTACAGGACTTTTCTCAAAGATTTACGCTTTGGATCTTGCCCTTTTGTTTTGATGGGAAGCCATGAGAAAGAATCCCCTCTGTGATGTTGATTGGGGGTGTCCCGTTTTGGACAACCCGGATCACTATGGCAGGAAACCAGGGTTGCCCTCTTTTCAACAATCATGCAAGCTGACAGAAGGGTTTGGAGAATTGGTTTTCCTCCTGAATAGGCCTGTCCACTTCCATGTTTTCCTTGGAAGGGGGGCCAAGGTTGCCAGGAACAAAAACGAGGCAACACCTTCGTATTGAATATAAGGAGACCGATTGTGTTTTTCAAGATAGGGATCCCACAAATGGTGGTTGTCCCTTGGGCTGCCCTTTTCAACACTCCAAAAAAGGCTATCCTCAAAAAAGACCCACACACAAAGACATTAGGCCCACCGACATACACACACACAAAGAAGCTAGGGAGCCCAACGATTAGTGATTTCTGCCTTTCTCCCAAGTCGAAGACCATAGTGGACAAATACGGGAGCCTTTTTGGGTTGGCTCGACAGGAAGACCAATTTACAGGAATGGGAGAACCCCTTTTGAGCTGGCGTGAGAGGGAACCAAATTGCAAGAATATGGGGCCGACTGGTAGCTATTCAAATTCATACTCACTGGATTCAATTGCTTGGGCCACCCCGTCCATTTCGGGGTGCTTGTGCCCAATGTTCAGCATGGATCAATCCCAGGCATGGCTGATTTTCCAGACGGGAACCCAGGTTAAATCCATTCCTGAAAACCCCACTGCCAGCGTTTTCTTGTTTGCTTCTTGGTTTGAGCGAACTAACCTTTCAACCGAAAATTATGTTTTCGGAACCCGGCCAGTGCGCAACTACCCAGAGGTATCCCCTTGGATTTTGTCCATCCCCTACTG